CAGGCCGGGCTCTCGCAGGAGGCGCTCTGGTTGAAGAGCCGCTCCCCGGTCTCCCTCGCCTGGTGCGTGGCCCCGGCCGCCGAGTTCGCCGGCTGCGCCACCACGTACCTGGGTCGCTCGGTTGCGCGTGCGCGCGGTCGAGCGGGCGGCTACGAGGCGGCGGCCGGTTTGCTCCGGGAGGAGGCTGGGGGGCCGGAAGCCAAGGCCATTTTGCTTAGGCCATACAAAATACGGAACCACAAGTGGAGCAACATGCATTCTTGGTCTAGTCTTCCAACCATAGGTAGCATGGGTGGCCATAAATGGAGATGTCCGGTCCAGTGGTCGGCTTCCCCCGCTTACCCAATGCAATTTTCAAGGGGGTGGGGATTCGGTCTGCTCGTTATCAGGTTGATATGCAAACACAATTTGCAGGAAATGGGGCGAACATGAAATGACACACAAGCAGTGTGCGTGTCTCTTGTTTGTGGCGAGGGTCCGGTCTCTATGGTTCCTTTCAGGGGAGTACCCTCGCAACAAACATGGAAGTATACAACTGCTTGAACGTCGGCAGAAAGAGTGCCATTGCTCCCTGGCAAAGGAAAAACATGGAGCAACAAACTGGCTCCCCCAAAGGAAGATTCCAGGCATGTCATGTTGGGCCCTTTAGAGGCCCAGATTTAAACTAGAAATACTGAAATTAGCCTCAAAGTCACAGTCAGAGTTTTCAAAAGAGTAAAGAAGGCCTCCTGTCCACTTCCATGACTTCCGTTTGCTTAAGCTTCCAGTAGTGAAATCGCTTCCATTTAAAACCAACCAGTTGGGAAATAAAACAACTATTCATTTCAGCAATGACTCCAAAAGCCCTCGCATTGTTCTTTTCAATAACCAGCCGTTTCCCTGGGTTTCTGAAGGTTTTCAAGAAAGAAGGATTCCTCGAAAGAATGGGAATGGAAGGTACCCCTAGACTCCTGTCCACTTCCATGACTGAAAACCCTCCCGGTGCCACGTCTTCCGCTTTGGCCACCGAGGCGCATGCGCACCGTCTGGCCGATCTGCATCAAGTACACGAGGATCGCCACGGCGCGGGAGATGTCCACCACAGGCTGCGGCCGAGAAAAAACCCACGGACGAGCCCCAACGTTTGGGCTGTGGCTCAATTAAATATACCCTCCCACCAGCCAACATGGAAGTGTCAGGCGCCAGCATTGTTAAAGCCCAAAAGAGACCCAGGTGTTTCAGGCGAAATGTTGTACCCGGACCCCCAACTACCCTGAAAGATGGGAGTTCACCCCATATTTTTGGGGCTATGACTCAAACTACCTGCGAAACATTGGATTTCACCCCATCATTTTTGGGCTACATCGCGAGTTTAAGGGAATTTCGAGGGTGCAGGTGCCCAAATGGCACCAAAAGGTAAATGGCTCAATGAAATGTACCCAGATTCTAAGCGCCAACTTGCATACCCCAAAAGGCCATACCCCAAAATTAGTGGTGATACATGGGTTCCCAAAAATCCACCCCTATACAAGGCTTCTACAAGGGGTATGCCCATTTGAAGTCTGTAAATTTGCCATGCAACAGATGGTACCAAAAGGTTCATGGAACCAAAGACTAAAACCTGGGGTTTGCCCTAGCTCTTCAACTTTGAGCCACGCCCTTTTGAAAGCCCGGATCTTCGCTTTACGTATCCCAAGAGAGTCGACGTACTCTGTGTTTGTCTTTTCTCCACGCATGGCTTGAGCGCAAAGGTATGCATATAGATCTGGGTGGCCTGTAGCTTTATTCGCCAAGAGTTAGAGTTCACTCATAGTGGCATCCTGGCAGTGGGTTCTTGCAACAAAACAATGGGCGTTGATATTGAGTTTTGTATTGTTGATTGATTAAAACCAACAAACACAGCTTTTCAATGATCTAAAACCAAACCAAACAAAAACAAAAAAGGAACAGGCTTTGATTTTCTTTAGTTGAAAGAGAAGGTATCTCAGCTTTTCACCGTGGAAAACCTTGTTGTTTTTGTGTATATACATATATATATATATGAAAGAGGAAAAGCCTCCACGCCTCGCCAACCGCCCCAAGCGCCCACCCGACTGTCCCCAGCTTTTCGCCTTGGTGGGATGGTGCGTGTAGGCCAGCGCCAGCGAGATCGCCTCGATGAAGGGGCCGCCAATCTCGAACCTCGCGGATGGCTGGCTCAAAAAACCGGAATTCCAAAATGGCTTGCCCTGGTAAGTGGAAACATGGACCAAAACCTGCGGTTTGCCCCAGTTGTTTAATTTTGAGCCACACCCAGATGGGAGGAACGGGACGCGGAGTTGGATGCGCGGCTTGGAGAAGGCGGAGACAAGGGACTCGGATTTTTTGTGGGGGTTTCTCCGATCCTTTGGACGTGTTTTGCGGTTGTTTTGTTTTGTTGTTGCTTTTTGTCCGATCCTTTGGCTTTTTGTGTTCTTGTTTTTGTTCTTCTTATTTCTTCCGATCCGGATAGAAAGAGTTGAACTTTGATGGAAACCGCTTCCCTTGTGCGGTTTCCTCAGGTTTTTCGAGGAAAAACGAGGGGGGTGGATGTTAGGAATGAAGAATCAACCGCCTGACAGGGAGGGTACCAGCTCCTTGCAGCTTCGATAGTCTTGCAGCTTCGATAGACTCGCCAGGCTGCGCCAACCAACTTCGACAGTTCAATAGAAATCCTTCTGCTCGTACTACAGATCAGTGTTCGAGGAATTGTCTTTTGTGGAACCCCCCTCCCTTTTTTGGTTAAATGGTTGCGTCTTTCCTTCAGTGTACCCCCATTTGGCGGGGGTAAAGGGACAAAACAGAAACCAGCTGCGCCACGCTCGGGTGCCCCAACGCCCCAACCCCCGGGAGGGGGTTGGGACCCGGGTCCCACACTTCCGTATTGATTCAGTCTTCCAACCACAAAAAGAGGGAAACTGGCTCACCCTCACCCTCCATGGAGTTTTTTTAGGGGTCACCTCCCCCCAATTCCATTTCTTCAGTCTTCCAACCACAAAAAGAGGGAAACTGGCTCACCCTCACCCTCCATGGAGTTTTTTTAGGGGTCACCTCCCCCCAATTCCATTTATTCAGTCTTCCAACCACAAAAAGAGGGAAACTGGCTCACCCTCACCCTCCATGGAGTTTTTTTAGGGGTCACCTCCCCCCAATTCCATTTCTTCAGTCTTCCAACCACAAAAAGAGGGAAACTGGCTCACCCTCACCCTCCATGGAGTTTTTTTAGGGGTCACCTCCCCCCAATTCCAATTCTTCCAGGTCTTCCAACCACAAAAAGAGGGAAACTGTCTCACCCTCACCCTCCATGGAGTTTTTTTAGGGGTCACCTCCCCCCAATTCCATTTCTTCAGTCTTCCAACCACAAAAAGAGGGAAACTGGCTCACCCTCACCCTCCATGGTGTTTTTTTAGGGGCAAAAAGAAAGAAATGGCTCACCTCACCCTCATGGAGTTTTTTTAGGGGTCACCTCCCCCCAATTCCATTTTCTTCAGTCTTCCAACCACAAAAAGAGGGAAACTGGCTCACCCTCACCCTCCATGGAGTTTTTTTAGGGGTCACCTCCCCCCAATTCCATTTCTTCAGTCTTCCAACCACAAAAAAAGAGGGAAAACTGGCTCACCCTCACCCTCCATGGAGTTTTTTTAGGGGTCACCTCCCCCCAATTCCATTTCTTCAGTCTTCCAACCACAAAAAGAGGGAAACTGGCTCACCCTCACCCTCCATGGAGTTTTTTTAGGGGTCACCTCCCCCCAATTCCATTTCTTCAGTCTTCCAACCACAAAAAGAGGGAAACTGGAACCCACCCTCCATGGAGATCTCCAGGGCTCGAACTCCTCCCTCCCCCCATTCCCATTTTCAAGGGTTGACCCCTCTGCAAAAAGCTTCACTCCTTGTGGGTTTAATACGGAAAAACCCCTCGGCTTTCCAACAAAGATCCGCAAATCCGGGATCACTTTTCTGCAAAAAGCTTCACTCTTTGTGGGTTTATTGGAAAAAACCCTTGGCTTTCCAACAAAAGTCCAAAGATCCGTTGCCCAACCAAAACCTCCGGGAGACTTCGACTGGGCCCGGGAAATTTTCCGATCCGAGCCGCGGGAAGCAGCCGCCGTGGGAGGGCAGCACGTCCATGCCTAGGTGAGGAAAACCCAGGGGAAGAAGAAGAAAAACGGAGTTGTGGTGAAGCACTTCTAGGTGGGTTAGGGACCATTTTTCAGATAGGTGGGTGAGTCTTTCATGGGGGGAACCTGATTTTGATTGGTTTCAAAAGGGACACCAAAAGGGACACTAAACTAGGTCCTCCAGACTTGAGAGGTTAGAATAAGTTGGTACCAACTTTTTTCTGTCGTCTCGTTTAGTGGGGGAACCCTCCGCCAAAAAAAGGAAACGCCAAAAGGGCGCCGCTGGTTGCAACTGGGATGCGGAACATGATCCAAACCCCCGCCGTGAGCGCGGAGCCGCAGACCACCGAGCCCCAGATCAAGCCCAGCTCCGCCACGTTGTGCAGCACCAGCCAGTAGGCGAAGGACTGGATCAAGTGCATCTTTCCTGACTCGGGCATTTCACTCACGGATGAGCTCCACTGATCAAAGGGTTTTCCACTAAACCCCCAAAAAGTGATTCACTTTTTGCAGGGGGGTCAGCAGCAAAGTGACTTTTCTGACATTTGGGTGTGGGTCAAAATGCAATCACCAGGGAACGGCAGGTCTTAGTCTTTGTTTCCATTTACCAGGGTTCCATTCTGGGTATCAGGATTCTTCTAGGGGTAACTTCCATTTCCAATTTCTTCATCGGGGACTCCTCAAGATGGGCTATATGTATATATATATACATATGTATCATGTGCATATACATATAATATTATGTTGTTGTATCAAGTATATAAAAAGGTTGTAGTTCTAGAGGTAGTTCTAGGGGTAACTTCGATTCCATTCTTTCCAGGGATCCGGATCCTTCTAGAAAACCACCAACCACCCCTAGAATGGGGAATCAACCCCTAGAATGGGGAATCAACCCCTAGAATGTGGGGATCAAGTGCATCTTTCCTGAGTCTGATTACTTCATGGGGGGCTCTCCAAAATGAGGCGGGGGGGGGGGGGGGGGACTCCTCAAAATGGGTGGTGTATGTGACATCATATCAAAATGGGTTGTAATGTAATACATATATGTAATGTGCAGCTTTCCTGAGATGTCTGACCATGGGGGACTCCTCAAGATGGGCTGTGTATGTGTCTCTATAAGCAAAAATAACATATATATATATATATATACATATATACATAGTCATATATATATATATATTATATTCATATATATATATATATATGATACATACATAATGTGCATATATACATATATAATATTATGTTATTGTATCAAGTATATAAACATTATAGATTCCTTTAAGTGTCCTTTTAAACACCGTGATTCTTCTAGGGGTAACGTCCATGTCCATTCTTTCCAGGGATCCGGATCTTTCTAGAAAACCACCAAACACCCAGGGGAAATGGCTGGTTCTTGAAAAGAACGATGGCTGAAAAGAATGGGGAACCAACCCCTAGAATTCTGCCATTTAACTGACCATGGATGGTCTCCAACATAAAGGGAGGGGGAGGGGACTCCTCAAAATGGGCTGTGCATGTGCTTCTATACATAGTTTTAACATACATAATATGATAAAATGTAATGCACTGCGTATATATAATACATAATAATATATCACAATATAATATGATATAATATGATCTGATACAACGTAATGTAACGTAATGTAAGATATATATGTATACACATATACACATAATAGATATAGTTTATATACAGATTCTGGATTCCTTGAAGTTTCCCCCTTTAAACACCTTGCAAATGTTGGAAACATCCCCACATGGAGCATCCGATCCTGGATTTCTGACAGCCCGGTCAAGAGTCCAGCGAGTCATTTTACCAGCGAGTGAGTTCGATTTCTTTGAAGGAGAAGGAACCTGGGCTGTCCAAACCGATCCCCTGCCACAAGTGTTTAAAAAAAAAAAAGGTTAAACAAAAAGGTGGGTGAAATACGGACACAACTCAGCCACTGAAAGCCTAACAACTTAAGGAACCGGATCGCTGGGAACCACCAAGGTACTATAAATTCCACAAGCAAAAATGAGAAATCTACAAGCAAATCACCATTGATTCATGGCAAGCTCGTTTTACCCTGGGACGAGCTTGTCAATTGTTTGCCCCGAACCAAAAGCGGGTTGAACTGAATCCGTCATCTTCCCACAACGAAATCGTCCATTTGCTTTTTCGCCCGCTGGAGAAAATTAGCAAAAATGTCCAGAAGTGAAAACCAACAAGGGAAAATAATAAACTACTCATTTCAGCAGACGGAAGAATACAGAAGCCCCATGAAGACAACATTAAACATGGCAACCGCCTGCATTTGCCAAATTCCTACTCAACACCCACAGGGTACCTGAAATGGAAGACATCAGCCCAGATTTGGCTGCAGGTCAAAAACCTAAAATGGAACCCTGGAGAATGGAACAAAGCAAGGACTGTGGTCCCCCGGCGGTTTAATCTTGACCCGTACCCATTTGTGCGTTCGCTCCGATGCCCGGGCTGCAAAAGTCGAGCTTCCAATGAGGAAGGTCACGCGCGCGTAGGCCTCGGCGCACCAGTAGTCCTTCTGCGCCTGAGGATTTTGCACGAGAAACGGGGGTTTATATCAAAAGGTCCCTGATACCTAGGCTGGAATTAGGACCCCAGCACAAAAAATGCCTGGTGAGTGAAAAACAAAGGGACCCCAAAAAAGCACAAAAAGGGGAGCTAATTCTGGGGAAGATACATGTATTTCAACCACCAAATGGGAAAAGTTACTCATGGATATTGATCAAACCCCAAATATGTTGCAGCTTCACTGCTTGCATCCATGCGCCTTGTACTTTAGGCCTGAACATGCTCTTCTAGCCCTGCAAGCCTCAGAAAGAAATGCACACAACCAAGGACAGATGATTGGCCGTAGCCAAATAAAACAGTGTGACGTGCCTCTTGGACAGCTTCAAGAGGATCTTCTGAAGTTGTGCTTGGAATTGCTTCAAATGTACCAACACGGAAACCATCGCCTGTGTGAAGTTGCTCCTGTTGTAAAGGCCCGGAAATGGCACCAGATCGTGTACATGACCAGTGTTTCGTAAATTAAATCTACCACCCAATTCTTCTCCTGGCAGGCCCAAACTCGCAGCCACCGCTGAAAACCCGTAAAAGATCGCCTCTCAGCCCTGAAAATCCGGAAAAAAGAAAAAAAGTCCAGGTCCTCCAGATTTGAGAGGTTAGAATACGTGGGTACCAGCTTTTTTTCTGCAGTCTATTTGTAGGTCCCGAACCCTCCCCCATAAAAGGGCACCTTGGGGCACCTAGAAGTTGGGCCTCCGCAAACCCCAAAAAAACGCCGTGCAAAGCCCTCGCTCCATTGCGAAGAAAAACCCCGAACGTCTTCTGGTGCCCCGAACTGAAAGCAGGGACCGAACGTCTTCTGGTGTCCCTGTTGAAATGCTTCTTCCACCCGTTTAAACGTTGAGATCCAGACAGGCCTGGCTTTCCTCTTGACCCGCAAGCGAATGTTCCAAATGTATTGTATATCTTATATAGTCCTGGGCGGTCCCCTCAGATCCCTGCTGAAAGCTTAACTTTTAGTGGGTTACCTGGAAATCCCCACTAAACCCTAAAAGCTAACAAGCCAAGGGGATGGCTGGGAGCCACCAAGAATCTTCATGCGATGCCCTTTGAGTTGCTACAATTCGCCCTTGGAATGCCTTGGAGCATCCGCTCCAACAGAATCGTGTGGGTGGTTCAACCAAAAGAAACATATGCGTGGGAATGCAACCTGCCGATTCTCTTGCTATTGGGCAGTGAATACACCCTCAGACATGGTGGGTGGACATAAATTGGAGGTCCAAAAAAAGTTGGACAAATTGGGGGGAGCCCTCTAAGAGGCCAGCATCTGCAAAGTGTGCTAAATTATTCCAAAAGCCGAATTAAGAATTGGATCCCCAAGTAAAGGACCTTTATCATGGCTTGAGCTCGTTTTACCCCCGACTGCGGTGAGCTCGCTACTGTTGACCCAGGATCTAAGTAGAACCCGTCCCATTAGGGGGGTGGAAACCCCTCCAAAAGTGGTCTGAACCCCCACGAAAACCGAGGACACCCCCCAATCAAAATCAACCAGGGGTTGATGAATCCGGCCTTAACACCTCAGTCCCTGAGTTCATGAACTGGGAACTAGGAAACCTTCCTCCAAAAGAAGGAAAAAGGCCACTGGTTGCAACTGGGACAATGGCACTCTACAACCCCACTACCTGGAGTCTCCCATGACCCTTAAAAAATGGCTCCATGACCGACCCCCATTTTTTAAGGGTCGTGGAGACTCTAGGTACAACAGGGCTCCCTATATTTCCCCTTACAGCATCACCCCCCACCAAGGGACACTCACCTTTCATGGGCCAAAAAGGTGATGTTTAAAACCGCAAAAAGGGAAATATAGGGACCCCTGTACAATCCATGCGCATCGATCCGCTTCAGAAAAAAAAGAAGTTCCGCTCCTGGCGGATTAGCTCGAAGTGCTCGTAGGGCTCCGGCGGCGCCTCGTTGCCGAAGGCGCTGGGCGACGCCTGCCGGAAAAAACCCGGGAAAACGCAGGGAACTTTATACGTCCTTTGACGCGAGACCCTCTCGCCAACCATGAAAGGGCCCCTGGACCGCTTTTTTTTTGTTTTTGCTTCTGTCCGCTTTGATATGCTGGAGCAACTGGGTTGTCATGCGACCATGGGTCAAAAGCCCGTACCCCCAGTGAACATCCCTTTTGCCCTAAAATAGGTACTAAAATGGGTCCTAAAATGGTACCAAGACGGTTTTGAACCATGGGCCACAGGGCGGTGAGTGCAACTTCCATTTGCGAATACCCCCCCTGGACAAAATATGAGAATGTCCAGTAGTGAAATCGATTCAACATATGTCGAGTAGTGAAATCGATTTCCTGGGAAAACAAAAAAACAGGTTGGTGGGTGTGATAGCAAGCCCATGTGGGTGTGGATCAAAAGCAGGTATCCTTTGCTTCAACCTACTTTCAACTGGGGGTTTCGCAAAGCGGAGGATAGAATTGGCTTCTCTGTGGTTTCACTTGTAGTAACATTCATGAAGGTTAATCCTTAACCCCTGAAGGCCTTAAGGGCGTAAGGGCCTATCCCCCCCAGGCCAAAGGCTGATGCGTAGCACGAACCAAATGCACACGATCGAATTGTAGCTGTTCATACTCTTCGAACGGTTGCATTCATGCAATGTAAGCGATACGGCTGCACAAGGTGATCATGTAGCCAGGAAGTGGAGATGTCAGTTCACATGCGCCAGCGTTCAAAAGTCAAGCCAATCAGAAATGCTGAACCCTCGTTGAGTGCTGCACTCGTGTTCATCATAGGTGATTGCCACTCGTCCCCGTACTTCCACTTGCTTAAGCCCAAAATGAGAAAATATGTCCAGTAGTGATAGCTTCCCTTTAAAACCAACAAGGAAGAAGAACAAACAAATATTTCCAAGCAAATGGAAGGGTACCTTTCTCAGAGATCATCGCCTGGACAACTTTGGCGCAACATCGACATGGACCAAAGAGGGCCGAAAAACAACTGGCAATGATCTGAATTTCCAGCCAGTCCATGACCGTCTCAAGCACCCTCATGTTCTGCGGGGCTGTTCAGCACCTACAAACTTTCGCTTTGAGTTGGAATATCTTGGGTTTTGAGCAACATGTTTTAAAAAAAAAAAACGGGGAACCGCTCCATTGTATAAGGCCGATGGTTGATCGAGCTACCACGTTGCCAGCAGTTCGAACCGACTTGGAGATTTCAACTACCAAGCCTTCGGAGTTTGGTGGAATGGACATGCGTCATGTTGCCACTTTTGGGAGGTCCCTACGCGCAAGGCTATGTTTAAAAGCATCTGGAACACACCTGAAGGCACAAAAACGCGATGT